TTAAATTAGAGTACTAACTTGAAAGCTAGGACGACACCTAGGTCTGAATTAGAGTACTGACTTGAAAGCTAGGACGACACCTAGGTTTAAATTAGAGTACTAACTTGAAAGCTAGGACGACACCTAGGTCTGAATTAGAGTACTGACTTCAAAGCTAGGACGACACCTAGGTTTAAATTAGAGTACTGACTTGAAAGCTAGGACGACACCTAGATTTAAATTAGAGTACTGACTTGAAAGCTAGGACCACACCTAGGTTTGAATTACAGTTCTAACTTGAAAGCTAGGACGACACCTAGGTTCAAATTAAAGTACTAACTCTAAAGCTAGGACGACACCTAGGTTTAAATTAGAGTACAACTTCAAAGCTAGGACGACACCTAGGTTTAAATTAGAGTACTGACTTGAAAGCTAGGACGACACCTAGGTTTGAATTAGAGTACTGACTTGAAAGCTAGGACGACACCTAGGTTTAAATTAGAGTACTAACTTGAAAGGATATAGCTTAAATGAAGCCTAGAATAAACAATCAACAAATGTCAACTATTAATAATAATTCATAAAAACGGTCTTCAAATGACCTCTGAACTTTTAGTCGAAATTTAGATAATTGAATTTTATTTATCCTTTCTTTTGTCCTTCACTTGTGCCTTTCAGAGTCGTGGTAGACACAGACGTCTTTCTAGAGCGACCCCAGTCGCTCAGCGGTGAGTCTGAATGCTTATAACGCTACAAAACTGGGTTTGGAAACCTGTGGTGAGCGCAGTGCAGATAGCCCACTGTGTAGCTTTGTCTTAACAACAAAAGAAGAATCGCACCTTTCAGGACAAGGTGTGACATTTATTTGAACAGTTGTTAGACTCGTTGGTTTAGATGTTTCCTTGACCCCATCCATATCCAACGCTACCTTGGCTTTCCTCAGTTCCCTGTTAGTTGTACATTATACACTCTTTCTAATAGTTGTTCTGGACCCATTTGCACCAAGTGGCTGAACCATTTCAATCTCTATTTTTTAAATTGTTTCAGTACTGGTTTCATTCAAAGCTGTTTTCTGACTGTTCCTTTATCTAGTCTGGTCTTATTGACAGCTTTATAGACGAACCTCATTTCACACGATGTATCATTTGTTCGATTCTGTCACTGTCAGTCCTTGTCTGACATTGATATGTTAGTATTGATGTAAATACGATGTTCATAAGTGTTCTGTCACTGTCAGTCCTTGTCTGACATTGATATGTTAGTATTGATGTAAATACGATGTTCATAAGTGTTCTCTCCGTTTCTAAAGGGATGCCTTTATATATGTCAGATTACATTGTTTGCTTTCTAGCATCTGGTTTCTATCTCTGTCTAATTTGCCATTGTTATGATATAAAAGACTGTTTAGTGTAGATATTATTGATTAATTTATTTTGTGGATGAATTTTTTTTGATTCTTTAGTTTTGTTCATAACAAGAGATTTAGAAGCAATTACTTAAAGTAAATGTTATGACAAGTTTAGTTACATATATCGTATATCGGTAGGGGTCGTACGTTGTGTTTATAGTTCATTGATGCCGAGGATACAATGAGCAGACGATTAAGTAATAAACATATAAATAGTGTGAGATGAGCGGGAAAGGTAGACAGACAGACAAAAACAGAGCAGACGATAAGTAAAGTAAAGTTAAGAGAAGGAATTCGGCCAAAGAAAAGTTAAACGCAAAGAAGTGGAGGGCCTAACGATTAATATAGGCCTAACGGTTGATATATCAGAGTGAGACTAACGGTGTTGAAAGAATAGTAGTTTATTCCTTCAAAGAGAGTTCTAAAGTAATTAAACTAACCTCAGTGGACTTTGACAAATAGGCAGACGATTCTCAGAAATACAAAGCGAGAAAAAGGAGCAGACGATTTTAGAAGTATAGGACACAACCGTGGTAACTTGATGATAAAGTAAGTGAATTATACTCGGATAGTTTGGCGGTAGTAATAGAGAAAAATAGTTTGGCTAGTCAACTTAAATTCTAAAGCAATTGAATAGGCCTAATTCACTATACGAAAAAAATATATTTCAGAGAAAACTAAGGGAAAAAATTACATTAGATTTCCAGAAGTTCTAGATGGCGCCACACTCAACGTAAAACCAAAACGTACTGAACAGTTCAGAAGTCTTCTATAAAACTTTGACGTTCAGTAGTCAGCTAGTTAATTAATTAAAAAACTAACTGATTTTCTCGCATCATTGTTGGATAAATTCAGTTCTTGTATCATTCACATCTGTAAATTCAGTCCAATTTTCAGACAGAGGTATTATTATATATAAATATTGATGATCTGATAGCGAAACGACAGGCAGATTGGCAAATAAGTAAGTTAACGGCAATAATATAAACATACACAAGGCCTAGTAAACAATTAAATTTAAAGACAGAGAATAAGCAGGTGGTCAGACAGAAGGACCAGCAGTCATGCAGTAGACAGACTGACGGATATCCGAATACAATGACAGATAACAGAAATGTGACCAACAGCTAGATACTTTGTTATAATGCACGAGTTATATTTTCTTTATATGTGAACAGATAAACATATAGTACCTGAAGAGGAAAAACAGAAAGATTCAGAATGTTGAGCTATAAATATGAAAACTTCAAAAGTGCACATCTCTAGAGGAATTGAGGCTTAGCTGTGTATCTGCGTAAGTCTCTACTTATAATGAAACAGTAAAATTTCACAACAACAATTTAGGCTTAGTTGTGTATCTGCGTAAGTCTCTACTTATAGTGAAACAGCAGAATTTCACTACAACAATTTAGGCTTAACTGTGTATCTGCGTAAGTCTCTACTTATAACGAAATAGTAAAGTT